CCAATTTTAATGGATCTCTCGTTCAAGCGTCCTACCAACATGAGTACGGTTTTATTTTCTTCTTTCCTTCTCCCCCCCCCCCCGGAACTGGGCGATAACGCACCCCTGGAACCATTGTGACTTGAGCAGCATGGGACAATTGTTCTTCCATTCTGCATCTCCCATTTCCCTTTCCTGGGAGGACTGCCTACGGGCAGCACAGTTTCCACCACCTGGTACTGAGAACAAAGGCTTTTCCTTCTCCTGTTTTAACTGAAGAGCTGCCTTTATTGGTAAAGTTGAGATCCCCGCCCACCCCTCAGTGTAACACTCTTTCCAGAGAAGATGTTTTGACGCATCACGTCACTCTGCCTAATTGTCTCCTTACTCAGCAAAAAAAAAAAGAATTTCCACATCTGAAAACTCTTCTTGTGCTAGTTATTTACTTATCTACCATCATGCAATGTAATAGGTTACCTTTTCTCTCCAGATATTAGCGCTGCTTGCTAATTTCTCTTTTCCTTCTGATGGTCCCTAGAGAACTACGTAGAGAAGTTATAATGCTGGCGTGTAGTTTTGGCAACAAGCACTGTCATCAACAGGCATCAACACTCATTTCAGACTGGATTTCTAGCAACAGGAACAGGTAAGTTGAACCAAATCCTGTATTTCTGATATGATTTATATTGCCTTCAGATTCTCAGTGGATGCATTCCATTTATCAACTGGAGAAAAACAAGACAAGGAAAAAAAAACACTGCAAGACTTTGTTTCGGGTTCACAGCTTACAGAGCAATGGCATGAAAACCACAATATATTTTTATTTGGAATGTTTTACCCAGTTTTCAATTTTCTTAATTCAGGCTCTTTTTCTTCATGTAGAGGCTGTCACCTTGTTTTGAATTTTGATGATTTTGCTATCCTGTGAGCCAAATAATTAAATGTAGGTCAAATTCTAAGGTTCTTTAGAAAGGTTGTGGTATTTATTCATAAAACAACTGTGAGTGTATGATATAAATAAAGTTAGCAGAGCAAATGTTAATATTAAAAGCTAAAAGCAAAAAGGTTATAAAAAGCCTTTACTCTTTTAGTGGCCCTTGACAGAAACCTTAAACGTGTATCTTATCTTGGAATTTCACAATACAGTATTTTAATATATAATGTGAGGTTAAAATTATTTAATAGAATTACTTTTGATGAAAATATTATACTAAATGTCACTTGTTAATGAAAAGAATGTTAAATGTAAAAAAAAAAAACCAAAGGTCAGTGATCTTACTGCAGTTTTTTAAACCTTCTTAGGAGTCTGTATTTCCAGGGTACTTGATGTTCCCATTCCTTTTTACGCTTTGGGCAATTTAGAATCATTCCTCTCCCGTTTTTGGCCACCGTGTTCGGGAGAGTCCTATCAGAATGGTGAGGCGCTAGGGAAGAATTTGTCCAGATGATGCTCTTTTACATGCTACAGTGGGCTTGTCTCTGATACGAGCAGCTGAGACGACCCAGGTGCAGCAGAGAAAGGGACTTCTCGTAGATCAACATAGAGAACCACAGTGTAACCTGTTTATGGAACAAACTGGTATTTGTCTTGTCGAACGTTACGTAGGTTTAAATTCAGGATCGAACTGACTTCAGATCAAAAGATAGCTTTCCTGCTTTAAAAGTCCATGAAGGAACTCTTTCACTGCATCGCTTAGTCATTAGTCTTAATATTTCACCTTCTCTATAGCATTTTCCCATTTTCTCTTTAAGTCAATAATTTTCGGTCTTGTACAGAGCTAAGAAGGAAAATATTTTATCGCTATTGTCTTTCAATGGGTCCATCATATACGTGAAATTAGTGATTAAATCTTTCATCAGTCTTCTCTAGAACTAAAGCATCCTCATTTTTTTTTTATTGGAAGTATAGTCAGTTACAATGTGTCAGTTTCTGCTGTACAGCATAATGTCGTCATTCATATATATACATGTATTTGTTTTCATATCATCTTTATTTTTTAAACATTTACTAATGATTATCCTTTTTTGCTGTCTTCTAAGAACTATTGTATTAGACTTAAAATATAAAAACTTTTTCCTGTTTTTTACCACCTCCACATTAGGCTATGAAACATAAACATTTACCCAAAATCAATACCTACAAAATTTTATTAAGATACATAATCATATATACATTTGAGGGAAAAAAGGTGAAACACATTATTGAAAGATTGTGGTCTCAACTTTTTGTTTTTTGTTTGATTATTTGTTTGTTTTGTTTTGCTGCAGACACATGCTTTTTCTCAGAACTGAGAGTTATTTTTGATCCCTTTTATGGGTTTACCCATGTTCACAAGTATTCTTAGTATTTTTATTGAAATTCAACATAACACCATTGCGTTACCATCATTTATCCAGGGTGTGTTTGAGCTCGGTATCACCCCCTACATTTAAAAACAGAGCTATTGGGAAGATTCTATTTTTTAAATAATTCATATGTTTAACAACATTTTACTGAGCAGTTCTCAATACCAGCTGGTAGCTGGGAAGCAAAGAGAAGAGATGGAGCTCGAAGTAGTTGAAGATACAGCTCTGGAAACAAATAGTTGTACTTGAAATCAAGAACTAAGCACGAGATAGGGTGTGAGCACATGGGAAGGAGGCATGCCTGCCTTGAAAAAATTGTGTTCTTCTTCACGAAGGATGAGTCGGACTTTGTTGGATGACGGGGCTGACTGAGATGGGGCAGGTGTGTATGAGTATGTAAGGTGGGTGGATGGAGGTTCCAGATGGAAGGAAGGCACGTGGATTGATGTTTAATTTACGGAATTACAGTGATTTTTTTTTTGACTTGTGCATTTGAACCACCCATTGCTATTATAATGCCCTTACAAAGGAAAGTTTGTGTATAAGGGATCAGTTCATTTTGATTTGGATAACTGTGCCATTTGTTTGTGGTAAAATCATTAAATTGGGGCCAAATACTTTAAGATTATTTTGTTATCTCCGTCATCATTTGTATGCTCCGCTACTTTGCTTTCTTTCGTAACTTGGTAAGTAAACATGCTAAATGAGACTAACCCTGTGGCTCCTGAGATTTGTGCAACCAACTAACCACATGAAATGCCCCAGCATATACAAGTGACTTCCTGCAGGGCAGGTACAAGATCCTCGCTGAGCTACACCTATGTGCGAGGATCAGATTAAACACACAGTTTAATCTGTGTTTTTTGGGTGACAGCTTAATAATGAAACAATAATGCAATCCCGCAGTTGGTGCTGACTTTAATTTTCTTAAATTGAGTCAATGAAGGGGAGGGCAAAATTTCCTTTTCAGTGTGTCTGAAGTAAGGGACCCAGTCAGCTTGGTTTGTTTACTTGTATTTGTTTAACTGGAACCTTAAAAGTCATCTTAAAACACTCCAAAGGTAATGTAATAGTTCACTAAAAATATCTGGTGAGGGAGATGCTGTACATTTATGCTAATACATCTAAAGGACAAGGACTCATGGAAGTGGTAGGAACTGCAGACATTTGAGGTGCCGTGTTACTATACAGCTTAATTTTGGTACACTGGAGAGACAGATCGAATCAGTGACATTGGATTCAGGAAAATGGAATGGAAAGTTGGTGCATGGCCGGGTAGTGGAACCAAAAAATGCAATGAAAAGCTAGAGATGGTAGCAGCAGAGAGAAAAATTCAAGAATTACAGTGAATGATAAATTGAATGAGCCAACATTCTGATCCCTGTTAAAATATTCAAATGCTACAGCGTGTTGAATTGTAATGGTGATGCCAGGCGTGAAAGCAGGTTGAGCTACGCTCAGGTCTTGTTAGGCTGCGATTTGGAGACTAAGTTCAGCAGAATGCCACGTTTCAGAAAACAGACAAATCACCAGACATTCAGTAGAGAACAATACAGATGATAAAAAGATCTTGAGAACATGAGCTATGAGAGGACGTTATGAAACCTGAGAATTTCACTCTAACAAAAAAGACAGAAAAGATGATAGCTTCTTTATATGTATAAAAAGTATAATAAAAGGGACAGAAATTCATTTCTTTCACTGGTTGGTACAAATAAACAAGAAATAATTGGCCTAAACTTCACTGAGTAAAATATGGGAGATGAGTTATTACTCCAAGCAAATTATTATTTGAAAATCTCTATAGTAAAACACTATTGAGATTGTACAGTTAACTACACAGAGACCTCATATAGCTATACGGAACTTCCTTTGAGCCAAAAATTTAACCTGAAATTAAATGTGTGTCCACAGTAACGCAGCCCCTTAACTTTGTGTTAATGTATCATTTTTCAAATAGCATTAAAAGACACAATTCAAAAGTTTAAGCCAACACAGAGTAAAGGTTTAAAGTATTTAATTTTAAAAAGTACTCAATAGTGATATTCATTTCCTAACGTATGAATTGATAACCGATATCATTACTTAAAAAAAGACCCTGAAACAACAGAATACCTTGTACCTTGTGGGAACTAAGAAATATTTATTGAATTGAGATGAACTGGAAATTTGGAAAAATTAAGGCCATTGTATAATAAAAATTACAAATAGCGGAGCATCTCTGGAGCTTTACAGCATACATAATACTTTAGCTTCACTGCTCCTGCAGTTAATTATCACATAACCAACATCATTGTCTATAATGATGATAATCATAATGAAAACTCTATCTACTTTATTATATTTATTACATTCCAGGCATTAGGCTAAGCGCTTTTGGTGCATGGTCTCATCATTTTAATTTTCACTTTTACAGAAGACAAATCCAAAACTTAGAAAGGTTCAGCAACTTGCTAAGATTTTATAACAATAAGTGATGGATCTGGGTTTCCACCCCCTCCCCCCACCGACCTGCCTCCCTTCTACCTCTACTGCGTGTGATTCTGTGGTGATATAGCAAATTACCATACATCAGAAATACATGTTTGTTCAAAAATGATAAAGAAACAAAGAAATACAAAAAAAGACACCCAAGAGAACTCAAGTGCTCTCTGCAGTGCATGTAAGCCATGGTTTTTGTGCTACACTGTACAAGCCTGTGGTTCTTGAATCTGATGGTGCCGAAGAATCACTGGGGGGAACTTGTTAAACAGTTTGCTGGGCCCCACCTCCAGAGTTCTGATTCAGCAGGTGGAAAAGGGCCCAGGACTTTGTGTTAATAACAAGTTTCCAGGTGATACTGATGCTGCCCGTGAGGGGCACACACTTTGGGAACCACTGGTGTAGGAAAAGGTGATGGTCTTCAGAGTCAGGGACACTGTGATCAGATTTGCAGCTGTTTTACTAAATGGCGACCTTAGGAAAGTCATGGAGTTTCATCATCTGAAAAATGGCAATAATATTACCAATCAAGCAAGCCACGAGAGTTAAGTAACAGAATGCCTATTTAATATCTGGCAATATTTATTATTTCCTTATAGGAAATTATGAACCATTAGTCATGTTTGGAGTTGCCTACTACTTGTTTTGCCCACCCCTGTGGAATGGGTGATGTGGATTTCCAGTGGGGAGAGTAGCAACAGTGTAGAATCCAGCAGAATTATAGAATGCCTTTGGTATTAGACATGCTCTCTGTAAGTTTTGAGGGTATAAGGATGTGACCTGTAAAATGATACATAAAACAAAACATTAGTGTAGAGA